TACTCTAGAGATTATTTCCTTTCACAAATTGTGTGTATTTAAAGCAATATGTGCTGTCAACTGCACATTACTTCTATCACTATTTGACGTAACTACATCTATATGTACATATATATTTGATTGTTTATGTATTATCTATTGACAACTGTTAACTCATTAGAACCGAGTACTATACTTAATAAAACTGTTAAATTATGAGGAATTACAATCATTTTCCCATTTAAAATAAATTTAATATTTTTACGTTGTTAGGCACCCTTTAGACACTCCTCACTTAAGTTGGCTCAAAATATTATGCTAAGTCATCCATAAAAGCAATTAATTTTTGAATTTTTAAAATGGTCTAACTGTACAAGTGTAGATATTTGTACTCGTACATGTTAAAATAAGTACTTAGTGTTTGCCAAAAAAAAAACTCATGATAAGCACCCGGATAATCAGTTTCGTTCAAATATGGCAAATTCAAAATGGAAAGTAGTAAAGTACAAGCTTATAATAATAGAAAAATTTAACTCGGTGGGTTTTTTGTAGGATTAGTAATAAAAGTAAAGTTTATACGATATTAATTAATATCTATGAAAATATTAGCGGTCATCCAGCCGTAACCATTCTATTATGTATTTTTGCGGCAATAAGCTTTGATATTTATATTGCTTGATAAATGTGGTGTAGATAGTGCATCGTAAATTCTGTAGATCCTAATCTTTATTATAATTTAATTAAGCCGCCGTGTAGTGGCGGCGGCGGCGTAATAGAATCCACTACTCTATCCCGTGGGTGTCGTAAGAGGCTATAAAGGAAAGCTGAAACGGGATATGGGCAGCATCATTTTAATGGTAACAAATTAAAAATATTAAAAAGAAATTGCCGTTGACACACCGCTAACCAAGCGTGTCTATATTCCTGTTATAATTTTCTACATATTTTTAGAAGTTTCAAAACAATTTTGCCACCAATATAAAAAAATTGTTTAAAATAAAGTCGTACTTAGTATTCCAAAATAACGTTACATTGAAGAATTGCTCACATATTATATATATATATATATATATATATATATATATATATATATATATATATATATAATATGTGTTAATATATGTCAATTATATTAATATAATTATATGAATAAATAAACCTGAAACATTAAAATGCTTGAAATTTTTAAGGATTTCATTACAAAATTACTTTTCCAATATTTCTTTATTAATCGTCAGCTGAGCATTTTTAAGAAAAGCCTATCCAGAGATTTTTTTAAATTACCGTTATAAATTGTGTTTAAATAGATATTTTTTGCCTTAAGTTATGACAAAGCTTTTGTAAACAGATTATAATTAATTATAATCAGTAATTATTTTGTAAAAAAGGATTTTGTGACAAAATATTGGAATATAAAATATAATATCTTATCGAGATAAAACAAATACTAATTTTATGGTGAAATTTACTGCCGCAATATTATTAGGTTAATAGGAAGGTACTAAAGGTTTTGTGTCTTTATCCAACACTTAATTATTAATATATGTATACCAAAGGAGTGCTTTATGCGCACAATACAATATATAAAAGTTTATTGTCTCGCGTCCGTCGTATTCATTTACATTAGGTTTTTCTCTCTAAGGTCGAGGATGAGTTTAAAAAAGTATTATTTTATTTAACTTTTATATCATGAAAATTAGTAGGTACAAGTCACAGTCAAGGATATTTTTGGTCGACATTACTATTTTGTATGAGAGAGAAGCTCGTGAAAGCCGAAACATATAAGCAGCAAAATATCTAGATCTGGCTCATGAGGTGACCAACATGTGAGGTGGTCTGCCGGGCGAAATTATTCCTGTAGTCGTTTTTGCTAAGACTCCGTGATGGACCACTTCGGGCTAAAATGCAGAAGGCGGTGGTCCTCGATACTGCCCGCCGGTTTCTTTCCCTCTCTTTGGTCTCCCTTGCTGCGTTTCCATCTAGTTGTTGTATGTGTATTATTTATTATGTTACTATATTTAATGTATATTTATCATTTTCTTTTATATATTTATTCACTCTAACCGGATAAGAATACTCTTTATACATCATACAATAATAATATGAGAAAGTAATTAAAACGAACAACTACCGGAAGTACGGAAGGAACGGTTGATGTGTATCGCGCATGCATCGCCCTGGAGAATCCCTCAGCAGGGCTAGCATGGGCAGGAGTCAATTTTATCCCCGGGGAAAGGAGAAAATGTTTATCCCCTCGCTTAGTTTTATCCACCCTTCGAGCATGGGCACACCGGTGGATATAATATCCACAGTAGAAAAAATGGGAGACAGTCTTAGATTTTTGTTTGAATATAAACTTAAACCCACGTCCAATGAACTAGGATAGAATTGTCGCTTTCAAATGTCAAAAAAGCATAACTTTTTACCTTTCATTTGGCTCCATGCTACGGACGGGGGATATATGTCCACTCGTTATGTCAAACGGGGATATACTTCTCCCCGTTGCCGTGCTTTGGCATAGGGACAAGATAATTTTATCTCTTGTCATTGGATATAAACGGGGGCTAAAATTTTTGTCCCCAGCCCATGCTAGCCATGCAGACATGGTATTTTGTGCACAACTATCGAATGGTGAGTATTTGCACAGCCATAAACAAGTAGCTAGGATAGTACACCAAGAGCTTGCCATAAAATTTGGTTTCACTCAACAGAACGTTCCATATTATAAGTATAAACCAAAACCAGTTATTGAAAATAGAAGTGTCACGCTGTACTGGGATCGTTTAATTATCACAGACAGGTTTGTAGTAGCAAATAAACCTGACATTGTGGTAGTAGACCGAAGTACACACAAGGCTATAATAGTAGATATCAGTGTTCCTCATGACGAAAGTATGTCGAATTGGAACATAAGATTGTCGCTATGCGGGACATTGATTCTATTATTATTGTACCAGTCATCAGTCATAGTTGTATCAGTTAAAGGGCTTATCGGTAAAAATGTGGATGATTATCTGTCAGAGTTAGGTGTGGGCAAATGGCTAAAAGAACCCGGTTTGCTCGCGTACTGTGAAATTTACAGCAAGCGCCAACCATCTGAGCTACCACGGCTATGTTTCCATTTTATCATTGCTGATTTATCACGTGTTCGGCGGTGAAGGTAAACATCGTGAGGAAACCTGCATGTCTGAGAAATAAGAAAAAATAATTTCGAAGACATGCGAAGTTCGGCAACACGCATTGGGGCAGCGCGGCGGATGCGTCCTTGCCCTAAAACACTCTCAGAAATGAGGGGAGGCCTGTGTTCAGCAGTGGGACATACACAAGCTGTAACTCTAACTTTTAACTTAAACATACCGTAGTAATACAACTTTGCAATGCATTCCTGTTAAGAATGGTACCTCGATCACTAAGCATAATTAGCTCGAAATGATAAGTATAAATATAAATTAAGCTAATAGTATTGCATAATACACTAAGTGGTATAAACGCCACTAATTTCTTATTTCACATTGTAGTTTTCTTTTGTATTTCTACTTTTTTCTTCTTCAACAGCCCAAAAAAGTTCACTGCCTGATATATTCAACCATTGGGAGTATTTAACTTAATTGCCACGCTTGGCGTACTGATTGTCGATTATTTTATTAGACGTTTCACATCTTTGATATGCTGTTTTTTCTATATGTCGTCGATTGATTAGTGCACAAGCAGCGCTATCTAACAATTAGTTTTCTGCACTAATGATATCGTTACCGGAAACACAAGCGCACTTGGACGAGATCGTCGGTAGAGGGGATGAAGCGAGGACTGGAGAAGGGACAGAGTGTTGGGACATTCGAGCTTCGACAGCCTTGATATACATATTCCTTTGATGTTGCCACCGAAAATGGAAACACGGTTCCCGACATTCTTTCAAGTTTTATTGCCAAGACTAGGTAATTACAGACACATTTGTTACCAACACGTGTTGGTAACACAACAGTTGGTAACAAAACTGATGGAGACGCGGCTTAAATGAGTAAAATATTTTTTAATATAAAGTAAAAGCCAACTTTAAACAAATAAGAGGAAAAAATAATTTCATATTCTGAGCTTGATGATAAAATTAGTTTATTCTTTTTAGTTCTTGGAAGTCGGCTTTCACTTTTTAACAAAAGTGGTTTTTTACCCTTTTCAGCGGACTAAGGAATATCAAAATTTTAATGTCATCTTGAGAGTTCCATTAAAAACTTTATCTCCTATTTTGTGACCTTCAGGGGTAGTTTCCAAATTTTTATGGGACTACTCCTGAAGTATAACCTATTTAAATCGATTCAAAAATTACGAAGATATCGCGTATTATACAAAATAAGAACACACACACGTTTGAATTAAAGATCTCCTTCTATTATTTGAAGTTGGCTAACAGTATATCGTTTAATTTTGTAAGTGAGGACACGTCGAATACATAACCATCAAGGTACAATTCCGTAGTCGACCGCAGACAGCAACTGCAGGCGACGTGTTCTGTGGCTACTCTATTTATGTAAATAAAATAGATATGTAATATATATATATATATATGTATATATATATATATATATATATATATATATATATATATATATATATATTTACCGCTTTTATTTAACTCCTTTCCAATATTTTTTCAAATATTATCTTTTGTCGCACTGTTTAAATAATTATTGTGAGATGCATCGTACAGTGCGGGATATTGGGCCACCTGATTTATCAATTTCTCTTCCACGAAATCGGTGATACTCATTTTTTGAGCAAAATTTAACGTGTCGCTCGGGCGTTGGCGGCACTACTGATCTGCGGTCTGGCGACATGTCGGCTTCCGCTCCGGCAAACGACGTGTCGCTAGGTACCGAAGATATTTCATAGAACTACATAGAAACCAGTAGTGTCGCGGCGACACGTCGCCTGCTGCTGCTGTCTGCGATCGGCTACGGATTGTACCTTAACATTTCACCTACATTCTATAAGGTAATATTTTTGGTTTCAATAAAACACGTTAAGTATTTCCCGAATTTAATTCTTAATGTGTGTCACAATAATTTTATTTACAATACAGAAATTCGATGTGACTAAAAGCGTAAGATTTTTTTCGTCGAAAATTAATGAAAAATAAAGACTCAATGAAATGGACATCAACACACATTTTTTAACTTAATTTTCTGTTTGATATTAATAAAAATATTTAGTGAATTTTACTTAAAAAAAAATTACAATTATATTGAAGTTTGTAATGTGTGTGTTTAATAAATTACGTTCTATAAATTTATTCGAGATTACTTATTACAATTTTAATACGTTTAAGCTATGATCAATAAAGTATCACACTCTCACAGAATACTAGCGTAAAATTGTTGCTTGCTGATGTGATTCAAAAAGATTTCTGACGAGAATCGGAGATCATTCTTACTGGTAACGAGGTTGTGAGGGGTGACAACGCATCTGCAGCTTGATTATTAAGCTTAGATAGATGCAGTTGTCTATGGTTGAGGCATGCATTTACTATCAGGTGGATAGTATTCTCGTCTCTTCTGATTAACATACAAACTGTAAGTTCTACTTTTTTTAAATAACGACTAATTCGTTTATTTATATTATTATCATTAGCTTCTCGACCAGTCCATTGCTAGACATAGGTCTCTCTCTTGTACCAGCTTACCTGATCGCTGGTTCTACGCATCCAACTCTTTGTTACCAGTTACTTTGCATAGATCGTCACTATATCGTGCGTCATGCGTCACATTAAACTTGTGACTATTAGAGTTTTATTTTATTTTAAAACGAATTTCAAATAAATATGATGAGAAAACTAAGACGAAGAATAAATTGAACAAAAACGAATATGTGCATTCAAAAGTTATTACTATTTCTTTTACTCCATAGTATATTTTAAATTTTACTAACATTTAAGGTAAGACAGAATCTGTTGTTCCTACGCTGAATTATATATTATGAATTCAAAACAAACTTGCGGTCCGGGAATTTCCCACTACTAAACTACTCAGTAGGAAGTGACAAAAAGTAGCAAACCTGGTATATGAAATAGGAAAATAGGTATGTCATTATAATGTTCAAATTAAAATAAATAAAGCGACCATATTAAGAACTATATTACATAATATTAAGAACAGGCTGTGTAGAAGCGGCGTAAGAATATCTGCTATCTCATATCATCTCGTGAGTGTCGTAAGGGATGACTGAGAAACAGAAGTTGACAGCAACATTCTGATAATAACTGTAAATAAGAAAAAAACTAGTGCAACCTGCCTGCCGAGCGTGGCATGATTTGCAGGATGCTCCCTCTGAGGCCAACTATGGGGGAGGCCTTTCTTCAGCAGTCGATTTAAATAGTCTTTAATAAAGAATCATGATGGTGATATTTAGAACCTAAGACATCCTTACAAAATGTGTTAAATCGGATTTAAGGTTACTCACACCTTCACTCAAGTTAAAATTTTAACTAACAAAAAAAAAAGATTCCGTTACAACACTATACGAATAGAAAGTTAATAAAGTATTTATTTCTTATCAATGTGTGTCTTTCGCTTAAAACTAATTCGCAATAATTTCAAGGTTAATATAACAAACATTTAAAATTATACTTTAAGATAGGTGCACATGACATTAACTATTAAACACTTAGTTTACAATATCATTACACTTTATCCTTAACACTTTGTCATCAACACTTTATACTTAATTTATATTTACACTTTTAGTAGGATAAAAATAATTTTCTTAACAGCGTCTAAAGGAACCATCGAGTGCTAAATAAAAACTCTCAGTGCTACTAATATCTTTACAATCGAGGCTCGTTTCTACATGTTTCACACCGTTTTCACTCTCGCAGCACTTTGGAAATGGTGCCATATTGTTTGCTTTGAACACTAAACTCGAACACTTGCTATAGTTCTCCTTGGTACGTTCTGTATTGTTATTGGTCGCATTACGCAGACCTCTACTCCTTTCTCAGAGATTTGAAGAGCCGTTATTCAAAAGCCGAATGCTGTTGTCTCTTCCTACACTGGTTCTGTAAATAAGAATAACTTGTTAGTGTAAATAAAAAAAATATAGAATATAAGATATTATGCAATATCATACGTTTCTTTGTGTAATTTATTTGTTTCATTTGTATATGATATTTAGATTTTCAATTTATAATTTATTTAAAATCATGTTATATTAAAACGTTTTTATCGAAATAAAAATCAAAAATGATTGTATCACATAATTTATTTGTAATATACTCGTAAATTGACCTATGTGTAAAATATGAATATGAACATTCAGGTTATCTCTGAATAATAACAAAGTCACTTCCCGTCTTCTGTACGCTTAGATCTTTTAAACTGCGCAACAGATTTCGATGAGGATAGACAGAACGATTCCAGAGGAATGTTTATAAGTATGTAACATGCATTATCCATGGATATCTGCAACAAAGTTTAAACAAAGAAGCCTACAAAATGTGTAGTCACCTTTGAGGACTATGACAGATTTCTTCACTGTCCATAACCATGCGAGCTCTCTCTCACTCTCTATAACCTTCAGATCGGAACACAGTAGTGCACATACACTGCTTTTTTTCGACAGATATTGGTAAAAGTGTGGTACCTACCCAGGCAGACTTTAGTCAGAAAACTCTTTAAACCACATAGTAACATATCACTAACAAAAAATCCCTACTACACTTTATTAAAAAAATACTTACACTGTCTACTCTCACTACAAGCAAATGTTCAATGTGTCAGGAAAGAAGTAAGTTCACTTAATTTGAGAGATATTTATTTGTTAAGCTAGCGATCCGCCGCGGCCTCGCACGGGAAATTTCTGGATACCAACAACAGTGCCACCTACCGGCTCTAATCGTGAATCCAAACCATTTAAGAACCCATTCAAACACATACAAAAAGAATATTCTGGCCATGCAATGTTTGAAAATGTGATTTTTTTTATTAAGGCCCCCGCAACCCCCCATGCGGGTAGAATTTCGTAAGATTGGTTCTTACGAGTAGCTGACCTCTGCTGAGCAAAAGAAATATTTTTACTAAATTTCAAATTTCTAGGCCTTAAGGTTCCCGAGATATCGATATGAGTCAGTACATAGGTGGAAGTATCTTCTATATATATACTCGTAGATATAAAAGTTATAAAATTGGGACTAACATGTATTGTTGATTTTATTTTAAAATCACTTTATTTAAACACTTTACGTAAACATAGTTATAAGTTTTCGATATTACTAGTCTCTATGGATGTTAAACTGAAAAAAAATGTTATTTATTTATTTATATAAGCGTTCAGCTTTTAAGATTATAAGCTTTTAAGCTTACAGCTTTTTAGTTTTCTTCTATAAATAAATAACAACCAAGTAAAACCTTCATCGTTTAAATTTGTTTTGATTGAGTAGATTTTTTTGGAGCTTACTAAGATAGCCAGTATCTGCAATGAAATATAATATATAGACCATTCAATTATGTTAAGAAGTATTTTACGAATGTCAGATTATACTTAAACATAAAACCTAGACCCAAACCTAAATCCTGCGTCACAATAAAATAATGAAAATACTGAAAGAAAATATAACGCTTCATTTCGATCTCATTGTTGACAATTGGCTTAGGCAAGTTTTACTCATCCTCGTATCCTTTATCTTATCATAACAAAGCGAACAAGGGTCATTACCGTTAATAAAAAGGGATGAAAAAATCAAGTATATACTCTAGTTGGATTATTTTGTCTTAATTTTGCTTTGATTTCTTTCATTGGATTATCATATCATTCCTTTATGCTGTTTTTGTTTCATAGTTTAATATTTTTGATATAAGTTTGTTTACTCAGACGTAATATGACATAATAAAAATGCGTCATGTAAAATTACAAGCTATAGATTCGAGCTTCATAGAAGCCACATAGACCTTTCTTTAATTTAAACTGAACGACATTTACGTGGTATATTAGTTGTAGCACGAATGGATCGGCTCGACAGGGGAAGGACCACGCTCTCACAGAAAACCAGCGTAAAATAGTAGCTTAACGATGCTGTGTTTCGTATGGTGAGTGTAGAGAACCGGAGACCCTTTTTACTGGTAAAGAGGCATTCCATCTTAGTCCTCACGGGTGACAACGCATCTGCATCTTGAGTCTTTATTGAGGATAGATGTAGATGTCTATGGGTCACAGTAACCACTTACCATCAGGTGGTTTGTCACCCTATCCTATAAAAAAAAACATTCGGTACGTCAATAGTAGTAGCTGAGACAACACGGAGATCGTCTTTAAAATGAGGAGATACGACGGAGAAGTTATTTTCAGAACCCCTAGTTTGTATTAAGTTTTTAGTCGGGTCCAATTAGAGATTTTGTTTAATAGTCTGCAGTCTCGACTGCAGCCACCAGTTTGTTGCGAATATATTTTTTAAATGGTCATTTATAAATTTCAACCAGAGGCGATATTACTGAAAGCCGTTTCTTTTATTTATTACGGTTATTACTGATACTAGATGATTAATACTTACGTTCTTGGTACCATGCTGATATTAGTTTTTCTACTGGAGTGCAGCCTTCTCGAAGTAGAAATGGATAAGGATCCCCTCGGCCCATGTGTTGACGGAGAACGACATAAGAGATACCTGGTTAAAATGATGTACGTATATATTTATTATTTATATATTATACTTAGAATATATAATTACAATACCTAATGTTTAACATTCGAATATTAATGTACTCTTAAATGCGAAAGAGTTGAGTCTTGTGGATACCACTGTTTTCCTTGGTATTACTATTGACGCGAAGCTTCAGTGGGGTCCCCATATATCTAAATTAGCAAGCAGACTTAGTTCTGCAGCATATGATGTAAGAAAGATTAGAAGTCTCGCTGATGTTTAAATAGCTAGATTAGTTTATTTGAGTTACATTCATAGCGTAATGTTTTATAGAAATTTGCTTTGGTGTAATACAAATGATATTGAAGCCATATTTGTTTTGCAAAAGAGAGCCGTACGGGCGATTTATAACTAAAGTTGTGAAGAGTCGGTCAGAGAAAATTTTAAAGAAATAAACATATTAACTTTGGCATAAAAAATACTTGTCAATCTATTTGTTTAGCATGGTGAGTGTTATCAAATATTTCAAATGATACATGATAACTGGGGCATTCTTGGCTAACAATGTATGGCATCAAAGTCAAAGTCAACTCACCGATTGAAATGTTTTCTAAAGATACCACTCGTACAGTATAATGCAATGGGGTTCACACAACTGTTGAGGAAGGAGAGGCAGAATCCCACTATGCGCAAAGCATGCCACCATCCGTTGTAATCATCTTGAGCTGTAGGACTGAATATGCAAAAATATTTAAATATTGTCAAAATATATAAAGTTACTGCTCTGTGATTTAAAAAAATACAAAGATCTAAAAAAATATAAGAAAATGAAAAGATTGAATAAGTTTGGAATAAATATTTTAAACACTTGTTTGTCACTCTAAATCTGAAAAATATCCTCTCCTAATAAATAAGGGAATTATACCAAGTGAGAACAAACGAACGAATAAACTTATATAAAGGAATAATTCATGGGAGTAAGGAGCTACAGGAACACGGACTTTAATACCACAATGAAAATTCGTTTATGACCTACAAATAATTATTTCAAGTCTGCATGTTTGTTCATGTTAAATTTATGCATGTTCACATTGTTAATGTTGTCGGTATTCCACGCATTAGAACATAACGGTTTCGGAAGTTCTTTGTAATGCGTTCAACATAGGAGTGGAATAATTTGCCGACATCTGATTTTACGTTCAATAACAATGTGGCTTTCTTGAAAGTAAGAATGAATAAGCTTGTGTTACGTTAATACATTGAGATTCACCAACTAGGGCTTCATCATCATTTACCAGCCGCAGTAGGATTGTGTAACTATGGTGATTTTCACCATGTGGCGGTAGAAAATCCTTAAAAATATTATAATAACTACCCGTAAAAATGCTTACCAATAATAGAACCACATCATAAACACATGAGAAGGTAGAAAACATGCCGCGAACACCAGCACAAAGGCTAGAACAGTTAGAGCGACCTTTCTTCTTGCTCGCATCTGAAATTATAAATTTCTTAGAAATTCAATGAAATAACATTTGCTTAGCTCTATTACTTCTTAATTAGGTCGTTATTTGTCGTACCATTAATACTTTAAAGAGACATTAGACATTAAAAAGTTATGGCGCTTTTATCAGCACTGCGCTGTAAGTACCTCATTCCAGATTTGCATTCATTTTCTTTAAATTTAATTTAAATTTTCATCTATTTATAATTTAATTCATATCTAATTAAATCACAGGCATTTACTATTTAAATTAATATACTTTACTGTACCTACATAATATATGACAATAATAAAACGAACAAATATAATACATCAATGCAATAACAAAATTCATATTTTTTTTAGTTGTCAGGAAGATGCCCATTGCCAACACCTGTTTCAGTTTCCTTTAGTCACTTCTTACGACACCCACAGCACGATATGGAGTAGTAGATTATTCTAGCACTACCAACACATGTTCAAATTGTTCAATACTTTGCATATATTTGCGCGACATTAAATAAAACTACGTTTAGTGATTTTATCGCGTTTAATTTTACGTATTATTTGTTCCCAAAATTTCCAGTACTTTGCAGCACCCATGGTCACGAGAGACTCCCTATAATAATTTTCTGCCACGAGCGACCACCAAGAGCGAGTCGGACTCGCACATGAACGTTCCGTACCATCGTAATAAACGTTTCTAGTAGGGGAGCCCCTTTTAGTTTTAAATTTATTTTTATTATTTATTTGTTATTAAAGCGGCATCAGAAACACACATTCTGTGCAAATTTCAACTGTCTACCTATAACGGCTCATGAGATACAGCCCCCTAACAGACGGACGGACGGATGGACGAACGCACGAACGAACGCACGGACAGCGGGGGCTAAGTAATAGGGTCCCGTTGGTTACCCTTTGGGCACGGAACCCTAAAAAGAAAGATATCTGTCAAATCTTTTTCATTATCATCATATTATCAGCCTATCAAAAGTCTACTGTTTAAGTTTATTAACTCCACAATAGATTACCTTAGATTATGCCTTTGTTTTCACTCTTAGTAGGCGGGTTTCTTATTATATTCATGATTATGCTGTCGTCTTCTGTTTCACTTTCCCTCTGCCTCTCTCTATCTCTATCTCTTACGAGTACGACATACACGGCATAATAAGGACTAGTGGATATTTTTACGACAACACTATACACAGCAATGGAACTATAACAGTTAATCTATATATAACTCTGTGTTAATCTTTTATTTTATTTTTATTTTCCTCAAGTAAAACTAACAATTCAGAAGCATTCAAAAGAAAACTATACCTGTCGATGTGTACCCTGCAGTTCACCGGGCATGTTTTGGGTACTCAGCACCAAATGTCGTGCCATCAACACATAGAAAAGTGCAATGACGGCTAGCGGCAACGAGTAGTATATGAGGAATCGCACCAGAACCATTGTTTTTGGATAGTTCTCACCCCATTCTGGTGGATATGGATAACAAACTAGGAACTGCGAAATAAAAAGTAAGATTATATGGTGTTTAATGTGAAGTTACTTCTCCAACGTGGTAGAGCCATGCTGCAGCTATATTAGTAGTATAGTTGTAACACGAATGGGTCGGCTCGACCGGGGAAGGACCACGCTCTCACAGAAAACCAGCGTAAAATAGCAGCTTAACGCTGCTGTGTTTCGTATGGTGAGTGTAGAGAACCGGAGACCCTTTTTACTGGCAAAGGGGCATTCCATCTTAGTCCTCACGGGTGACAACGCATCTGCATCTTGAGTCTTTATTGAGGATAGATGTAGATGTCTATGGGTCACAGTAATCACTTACTATCAGGTGGACTGTGTGCTCGTTTGTCACCCTATCCTATAAAAAAAAAAAACTTGAATTTAATATAATCTTCAAAGACCATTTGTTTCATCAATTTTTCTATTTCTTAAAAATATCTCGAAGTTTCCTTATGTCAGTAAAAGATTGTTTTTGATATTACTGACAAGCACTTCAATTTATTTACCTACTAGCTGTTCCCCGCGACTTCGCTCGCGTGTTAGGGTTTTTATATTTTTGCGCGGAACCCTAATTATTTTTCTAAAATAAAAGTAGCCTAAGTTACTCCTTATAAAATCAGCTATCTGCCAGTGAAAGTACCGTCAAAATGAATCCAGCCATTTCGGAGATTAGCCGGAACAAACAGACAGACAGACAGACAGACAAAAATTTTAAAAATTGTGTTTTTGTTATAGGTGCCGTATATACTTTCATATGCAATTAGTAAAAAGCTGTAATTATGACATTACAAACAGACACTTCAATTTTATTTATTTGTATAGATACGTTATCTATTAATAGCTTAATTATTAAGCAGGCTTTGTAAGGCTGGCGGTTCAATTTTGGGTATTTTTGGTATGTATAACTATTTTCATGTAAAATTACCGACTTTTTTTGCATAAATTTAAGGCGCAAGCATACACGTTTATCTAAAGTTCTAAAGCATTCAAATGGAAAAAGGTATAAGATCTGGGTAATGATAGACACAGAAATCGATAAAATTATTTATTCTTGTATCTACCGATCGCACAGCTGTGACCAGGAGACAGCTAGGCTATTAGTACACCTCAGTGAAGCCTCTGATGTTGTTCTAAATCGGTATCCCAATGTACAGTTGGTGTTTTTGCGGGACTTTAATGACTGTCATCAGATCTAGCTGTTTCCATACCAGAAGATCCACCACGCTAGGAGAGAGGTGTGGAATTTTTCCTTGTCGCTGGGGCTCTCTCAGCTGGTACAAGAAGCGACTAAGGTACCGGATGTGGATGGCCACACAGCCAACTGCCTCAAGCTTCTGCTGACGCCCGATCCAGATAGCTACTATGTTCAGATTACCTCACCCTTGCGAACTTCTCACCACTGCTTGGTGAAATCTGTGTCATTATATTCCACCTAACTACGATTTCCACGGTGAGCGGCTAGTGTTGTTAGTGTTGTTAGTGCGGCTAGGGTTGCGGCATTTCTTTGTATCTTATCCTTGGCAACAGGTCTGCTTCTCGTCTGAAGATCAGTCGAGCCACGCGGAAGGCATAACCGATGTGGTACGTAAAGCGATGGAGTATTTCATCCTCTTTGCTGACGTGCCCATTGGTGGTAAAACTCGCACATCGTTCAACGCCGAGTGCGCTCGTGCTGAAAAGCACAAGAATATGGCCTACGTATCCTGGGTCGATGCTCGAAATTACAAAGCTCCGAATGTTATCCTTAAGAAAAGAGCCTTTAACTAAGTCGCCAAGTTCTGCAAAAAGGTATTACGGCAAGCCAGTTTCGACCCCATTAAATGCATCGGTACAAAGCTCTCTATCAAAGCATCTGGTAGTAGAGCTTTTTGGTCTTTTGCCAAAGCGGTTGAAACGAACTTCTGTCGGTCAACACTCTCTCCGTTGGTAAAACCAGATGGATCACTGGCGCATGTAACTAAGGAGAAAGCGGACTTATTTGCTTCTCTTTTTGCTTGCAATTCGTGTCTAGAGAGTAGCAACAGCGTACCATCTCATTAAGAGATCCGTATCACTAACAAGGAGGTTCTTTAAACCTTGCGAAGTCTAGACGTGAACGAAGCTAGTGGACCTGATGGTCTCCTGTCTTGACGCGCTTGTTCCACCTCTCATTTAGAACTGGAGTAGTGCCCAAATCTTGGAAGCTGGCCAATGTGCAGTCTGTGCCTAAAAAAGGTAGACGTACCGACCCTGCTAACTATTGGCCAATTTCAATTACCTCCATACTCTGCAAGGTTATGGAGCGTATATTGAATGCCCACATTATGGCATACCTAGAGCCGAATGATCTCCTCAGTGACGGCCAGTACGGATTTCGCCGAAATCGATCAACTGGGGACCTTCTAGCCTATGTCACTCACATATTGGGCAAAACCCTCGAGAACAGTGGTGAAGCACTTGTTATTTCCCTCAATGTTTCAAAGGCTTTTGACAAGGTTTGGCACGCTAGTTTATTGGGCAAGCTTTCAGCATACGGCTTATCTTGCCTGATTGACTGGGTGAAGGACTTTCTGAGTGAACGATTTCTCTGAGTTGTCATCGATGGTTGCTCGGTCTGTCCTATCGCAACAAACGCTGGAGTTCCTCAATACAGCTAGCTTGGGCTGGGGACTAAAAAAATTACCCCCCGATTATACTCACTGACAAGATATCTATATCTTCTTCTTATGCCAAAACACGGCAACGCAACGGGGAGAAGTATATCCCCGTTTGACATAATGAGTAGACATATATCCCCCGTCCATATCATGGAATTAAATAAAAGATAAAAAATTATGCTTTTTGACATTTGAAAGGGACAATTTTATCCTAGTTCAATAGGCGTGGGTTTAAGTTTATATTCATACAAAAAATGTATCCAAGTCTAAGTCTATCTCCCACTTTATCTACTGTAGATATTATATCCACCGTTGTGTCCATGCTCGAAGGGTGTATAAAACTAAGCGAGGGGATAAACATTTTTTCCCTTCTCCTGGGATAAAATTTTCTCCTGCCCATGCTAGCCCTCCAAGGGTCCGTTCTCTCCGCAACTCTCTTCCTGCTGCATATAAATGATATGCTTTTCTCGGTATCTATGGGTATGTAGACAACAATATAGTTGTGGAGATATACCAACCAAGTGCCCGGGCCAGTCGGGATCAAATCCAGTCCGAACGAGAGGCTTTGGAGGAGCGTGTGAATCTCACATTATAAGCAGTCTCCGAATGATGTGATGCCGATTTCGTGAGATTCAACGGCGCCAAACGCAAGCGTGTCTTTTCATCGCTAAAAGGAGCCCGATCACCCTGGCTCCTACTTTCTGGAATGTATCCTTGGAGTACACTGACTGCCCTCAGTTGTTAGGGGTTGAATTTCCTCCGAACCTCAACTATGGGCGGTTGATTGAGTCCAGAGCCAAAGCAGCCGCAAGGAAACTTGATGTCCTTGTAAGGGTGCAGCGGTACTTCATGCCGGGGCAGCTTCTTACCTTATATAAAGTGCGCGTCATGTCATGCATGAGTACTGCTGTCACATATGGGCTGGTGCTGCAAAATTCCACGTGGCAGTTGGACTCAGTGGAGAAACGTGCTAAGGGGCTCATTAGTGACCTTGATATGGTTGCATATAATGAGCTTTCTTAGACTTTCGTCACTTGTGAATAGTCAACTTACGAGTTTTATGCCACTTCTTATTACGAAGTTTTTTTTTATTTTTACATCAAAGTCTCCAACAAGAGCGACTGTTGAAGTGTTGGCGTAGCTTTCTTGGCGTTCTAAAAGTGCTTTGTAAAAGCTAATTTTGAATACAAATATTTAGACTTTGATATTAAATAAAATAAAATAAAGTAGAAGGTTAACTACACTACAGTCTATATACATCCTACGTTTGGGCATACTCTCATTTCTGAAAAGGCTTATTAGGACAAGGAAGTGTCCACCGCGCCACCCCAATGTTGGTGGAGTTTACATGTCTGAAATGTTTTTTTTTTCAATTTTCTTTAATTCACACGCATGTAAGTTTCCTTACGAAGTTGGCTTCGCTGCTAAGCACGTGGTTAATCAGCACTTAAAGTCGTAATTAAAAGTTTCATTAGTACCGGCAGGGATAAAGCCCACCCCGGGTTTGATCCCCACCTCGCTCTGCTGAGCTCGCTAAAATTTACGGCAAGCGTTTTCCCCCTCCGCTACTACAGATCTTAATTTAATTATCCTCCACCTCCACCTCCGCAATTGTCTAAATAACGAAGATATATTTCATATACAAATAGATATTTAGATATCTATTTTTAACACGTTAAGCGAAAGCTTTATACCCCCTTTTAGCAAATATGCGCAGACGGAGGAGTTTGAGATTTGGTATAGGTAAAGTTTATATGGAGAAGAGTACAAAATACCGTAATTTGTAAATAACATATGTTAAAATTCATCATCATCATCAATATAGCTCTTCACAAGCCCACTGCTAATGATGAATGGCTCACAATACGGTTCTGAGCCAGCAGCATTTATTGACTTCATGCTTGTCGTACCATGTCGTCACTCCATATAGTCGGGGACTGTCTTTCACTTCGTTTAACGGTGCGAGGCTGTCACTAGAGAACTGTGTGTATTTGAGTTTTTCTCCCTTTCACAAAATTTGAAAAATATATAAAGATTTTACAAAGTATTCATAACTCATTGTCAAAACTTTCTCACAGAATTGTGCTAAGCTGACCTTTTCGACAATCAAATCAAAAGCGTAAGGTCTAGACTGCAACTCAATTACCCGTACGAAGAAAGGTTTAATAATCTAATTTGTTACAACAGACATTCTAACAGTGTAAAATACACAGAACAATGCCACTTTACTTACGTTTGTTCAGCTTTTCATTTATTATACGAGTAATTAACGTAATTTTACTGGCTGGCACGCTCTGCTATTTGGCGGCAAATGTTTTTTTTTATAGGATAGGGTGACAAACGAGCACACAGTGCACCTGATGGTAAGTGGTTGCTGTGGCCCATAGACATCTACATTTATCCTCGTTTGCGAATAAAAATGCAGATGCGTTGTCACCCGTTAGGACTAAGAAGGAATGCCTCTTTTCCAGTAAAAAGGTTCTCCGGTTCTCTACACTCACCATACAAAACACAGCAGTGTTAAACTGCTATTTTACACTGGTATTCTGTGAGAGCGTGGGCCTTCTCCGGTCGAGTCGACCTATTCGTGCTAAAACTATACTACTAATATAGATGCAGCATGGCTCTACCACGTTACCTAAATGGACTTCTAGACAGAAAAAGATCCCACCACTTAGTAAAAGTTCTACTCGATAGGAAAACAAAATATTTTTGAAGTACATTTTATTCAGTGATGTAATAAAGTTACAGTCTTATACTCGTATACATCACAATGCTGCGCCCAGGTTTATCATTTCTCAGAAGGTTATGAATCATGTACTCGAAATATTTCATTAATCATACATCCAGATTTCCTCACGATGTTTTCCTTCACCGCCGAGCACGTGTTATATCAGTACTTCAAATTAATAACAGTGATCGAACTCAGGTTGCTAGCGTACTATCTAGACACACTATAGTACGTCGGCCAAGTTCAGAAGAGAAAAGGGCAAAGCACTGGCCGTGTTTATATTTACACGAACCATTTGAGCTTATTTCGACCATCCACATAATTCAAAAACTATTAGACCCACACACTTGAAATTGCATGTCTAATAAGGCCCTTGAATAGCTAGAATCAATTATATGTCTTACGTTATTTAGGTCTAAACATTATATATGGCATAAACAATTTTGACAGCCTCGAAAACACTGGCAGAGTAGCCTCTCCGTATTCTATAGAATGCATCAAGGAGGGTGTGCGCAGTAATTACATACCTTAATTCCCTTCTCTCCGGCCTATCGGACAACTAGGCAAGTCATCACCCCTTTGTTATCGATATTTCACGCATTTTAACCAAACGGTTTAATCGGGTGGAGATATCGTTTTTCTTTTCGTTCGATTACAATCTGAGTGCTTTCAAGGCAAGATTGTTTAATAGGCTTTTGTTACGCTAAGACAGTGCAATTTGCCATCTAGGACTTATTTCAATCACCACTTAATTCCAGGTAAGTTTGTAACCAAGTACAGGCAATAAGTTGAAAAAATATCACTCACTGTCTTATTCAGAAATTAAATATTTGACATCATGGTAGAAAAAAATGTGTAAATTACAAATTATCGATATTTGGCGATACTTTTCAAAATTTAATGACAACTCAAACAAAAACATAAATATTAATGTGCAAATGTTTGGTACAAAACGTTCAGGGTTTTTTCCTTCACCGACAAAACAATTGAGACTTGAACGTGTGCCAAGCTTTTTAGGATTTCCTTAAATCATAGCTATAATAATATAGCTTATTAGAATATATTTTGAAGACACTCCCCACACACACGTGTTTATACGTGGTAGAGCCATGCTGCAGCTATATTAGTAGCATAGTTGTAGCACGAATGGTTCGGCTCGACCGGGGAAGGACCACGCTCTCACAGAATACCAGCGTAAAATGGCAGCTTAACACTGCTGTGTTTCGTATGGTGAGTGTAGAGATCCGGAGACCCTTTTTACTAGAAAAGAAGCATTCCATCTTAGCCCTCACGGGTGACAACGCATCTACATTTTGATTCACAAACGAGGATAGACATAGATGTCTATGGGTCGCAGCAACCACTTACCATCAGGTAGACTGTGTGCTCGTTTGTCACCCAATCCTATAAAAAAACACACACGCACACACATGCATGGGGCAGCGCGACGGATACTAGAGAGGAGGCTTGTGCTCAGCTGTGAAACTTATATTATGTAGAAGCTGTTACTTTAAAATTTTACTTTAATCCTAATACAAAATCGTAACATCTTAGTTAATAAATATATATTATTAGCGATACGCTTCGGCTTTATACGTGTGATTTGTAACAATCACCCAAACACACAAAAAAATTTATCAAAATCGGTCGTGCAGATTTCTGTAATGAGACTAACGCACAGAAAATTATTTTTATGTATAGAGTTATAGAATATATAATGCTATTTAATAACTAATTACTTATGCGTATGTATACCGGCGAATTTCTTTTTTACCTGTGTTGTGGGATTGACGACGAAAGCACGCAGGTAGGATCCGATGTAAGCAGGTGTAGCAAGAAGCCCTGCTAGTATCCAAATACCAATTGCTGTAGCCACCGTTATTCGTGTAGCACGTCTACTTCCCCCTGTTTAAGAAAAAATAAGTATCAATAGAACAATAGAATTTGTTAATTTGTTACTATAATTAGTTTTGACCTCTTATATCTATTTTCCCACAATGTTTGCCAAATATTTCAAGACTCTATAGCAGTTGACGCATTCTTAAAGATCTTTAATTTGCGATAGACTTACAGAAAATATTGCCAAATTATTCTAGTTTTCGCTATTTAGCCGACTTCAAAGAGACAAATGGTGGTTGGTGATTCGATGTGGATCTCTGTACTGACAATTCTATAAATTTTAGGTAGGTATAGTTTGTTTTAAATCCATTGTAATTTTTTTCTGATATGCTTACAATTCCTTATAACAAAGTTAATAGAATAACCATAAAGACTTCTTAGTTTTGGTTAAGAAGTTTTAAAAATTACTTCAAACGAATTGGGCTAATTTTGTCTACTTCGCGCCAAAGAAGACAATATCTTTTTGTATGGAGAATGGGCCCACCACAAATTGTGGCGTAACTTAATAAAATACGTGTCGATTTATTCCTTATAATCTATAGATTACAATAGTAATATTAGTTTTACCGTGTGTGACGGGAATACTGGGAAATTAACTATTAAAATCTGAAGATCTCAGTGACCTAAAAACAAACTAAAAGCGATTGTCTAGTAGTTTTCACCGGTATTATAAGTTAAAATAGTGCACTACTCAATAATTAATAGTATTAAATAAAGTTTAAGGTACATTTAGCATTTATAGGTACTTTAATATTGACGGAAATTCTTTTAGTAGTTCGTCCTTCGTTACCCTAGATAATATTTCCGTTACACGCATTTCTTTTTTCATATTACACTAGCCAGAACACGAATATCAAAATGAATCAGATTTCATGATTCCGGTTATATTTTCATAAAATCTTTAGGCCGTTTACTATAATAAATTGGTATTTTGAATTTAAATAAAACTAATTTTACGAATTTTATCGCGTATATTAACTTATTTTATATTCCCGACGTTGTATTGTATTGTATGAGATGGTATTTTGTATGTACAATAAAATTTAGTTACGTTAAATTTCTAGCGGGCCCAAAAACCATTGTCTCCTTTAAGGTAACTTTGACTATATAAAAATTACTGCTAAATTAATAATTATCTAAATTATGATTATAGAGTAGAATACTACAATAAGTAGTATACTTTCTCGTTTCAATATTTCCATATTATCTAATAATAAAAGTGAAGATAGACTTAAATCCAGATCAAAGGTCAAAACTATAAACTATACATAGACCTACATAAATGTCAATTACAGGATTGTAAAATAGAATTGACTCCGTTCCTTCTATTCCGATCACGTTAACGTGTAGAAGCTAATTGATTTATGTCTCTTAATAAATTTGGTGTAGCAAGAACCAGAATTTTAATACAAACTACGTTGTGTTTTCAACCTTTACCGCTACCTCCTATCGAAAGTCCACTGTTAAACATAGGTCTCCCCTATAGGTTTCCTCATAGGGGAGATATTTGCCATAGTTGCCACGCTTGGTAGATGAGTTGGCAACCGCAGTTTTTTATTTATTTAAAATTGCGAAAACTATGCTGCCGGTCTCCTGGTTTGTTTCCCTATTCCGACACCCACGGAACGATATGGAGTAGTGGGTGTTCTTACATCGCCACTACACGGTCAACATAGACACAGTTGTTTCCAATATAGTTACAAAAGAACTATATTTTTCGGTTGAGTTGAGTTGTAACCAATAATTAAACTAAAGATAGCAATTACGCTTTATCTTAAATTCAATAAAGATAGCAATTACGCATAACAAATTTAAGGAAACATCGTGTAATGCTGGCGAAATTCTTGTTAAAAATAGTCCATTATACATAATTAAAGCTGTGATTAATTCTTAGAATCAGGAGTAAAATCAAATATCTTAAAGTAGCTACATTCCAACAGGGATTCTCGGACGGGAAACATTCTACAGTTTTGCTATTTATAATTTCTCAGACAAATTCCTCACAATGTTTTCCTTCACCGCCAAGCACGACGTCATCTTACTACAATTAATTTTTTTCTTTTAACCTTTAACTACCGACGTGCGGTCTGAGAGGCCCCGACAGGCTCTTGACTTGCTAGTTTACCCCTTTCCCCGCGTAATACCAATCCCCGCTTTTAAGTAGCTGCAAGGATAAGGCCCACGTTAACATCGGAGCAGGAAGTGGTGTCGTCGAACACGCATTTGCGCGCACGCACGCATGTGTGTGTGTGTGTGTGTGTGTGTGTGTGTGTGTGTGTGTGTGTGTGTGTGCGTGTGTGTGTGTGTGTGTGTGTGTGTGTGTGTGCGTGTGCGTGTGCGTGTGCGTGTGCGTGTGCGTGTGCGTGTGCGTGTGCGTGTGCGTGTGCGTGTGCGTGTGCGTGTGCGTGTGCGTGTGCGTGTGCGTGTGCGTGTGCGGTGCGTGTGCGTGTGCGTGTGCGTCTGCGTGTGCGTGTGCGTGTGCGTGTGCGTGTGCGTGTGCGTGTGCGTGTGCGTGTGCGTGTGCGTGTGCGTGTGCGTGTGCGTGTGCGTGTGCGTGTGCGTGTGCGTGTGCGTGTGCGTGTGCGTGTGCGTGTGCGTGTGCGTGTGCGTGTGCGTGTGCGTGTGCGTGTGCGTGTGCGTGTGCGTGTGCGTGTGCGTGTGCGTGTGCGTGTGCGTGTGCGTGTGCGTGTGCGTGTGCGTGTGCGTGTGCGTGTGCGTGTGCGTGTGCGTGTGCGTCTGCGTGTGCGTGTGCGTGTGCGTGCGTGCGTGCGTGCGCGTGTGCGTGCGTGCGTGCGTGCGTGCGTGCGTGTGCGTGTGCGTGTGCGTGTGCGTGTGCGTGTGCGTGTGCGTGTGCGTGTGCGTGTGCGTGTGCGTGTGCGTGTGCGTGTGTGTGTGTGTGTGTGTGTGTGTGTGTGTGTGTGTGTGTGTGTGTGTGTGTGTGTGTGTGTGTGTGTGTGAACACAACAAACAACATATGAAATGATATACATTAAAGTTATAATAATAGGTATGCAAATAGATAGGTTAGTTACCGTAAAAGCTTGAGAACTTCTTGTTTGAATTTATCTTTGGAAATGTAAAATATAACTAAGTTTGAGAATTTTTATTATATATTGAGCAAATCCGAGTCAAGGGTGAGTGAATAGTTAGAATTTCGAGCGTTGGGAGCGAATAAAGGGGTGTGTCTTGTACGCTTCCTGGGTATATTTACATTTATTGCAGATAATAAAATCGGGGAATCCAGGTAGCCATTAGATATACTAAACAAAAACATCATATCTAAGAGAGTACGTTTATTTTCTAATGACGTTACTTTATGATTTCGGCAGCCTGTAACATAATCAGAATAAGTGTGAGTTCTATAATTCAGGTGCCTTATGAACTTTGCCTGAACACTTTCAATTTGTTGTTTGTGGGTAATATAATAGGGAGACCAAATACTACTTGCGTATTCTAAAACGCTTCGAACGTGCGCGTAGTAAATACTTTTAATACACTTTATGTCTGAAAAAGCTTTGCAAATACGTAGAACAAATCCTAGATTTTTGTAAGCTTTTTGCACTATAGCATCCACGTGTTTTGTCATTGTCAGTTTCTTGTCAAGTGTAATGCCTAAATCACGAACTTCATCTACTTCTTCAACTAGGATGTTATTTATGTAAATGTTATAGGTTTATTTTTGCGTGTGAATGATATTTTTTGACATTTAGGTACACTTACAATTATATTACTAACAGAGTAATAATACGACAGTTTGTTTAAAGTGCTTTGAAGGGTAAGGCATTCTTGAATATTATTAATTTTATAAAAGATCTTTTTATCATCCGCATATAAAAGGTAGTTTGTGGAGTCAATACAGGTGAATATGTCATATATATATGCATTGTATAATAATGGACCTAGATGAGATCCCTGTGGAATCCCGAATACAAATGTTGGACATAAAATTCCAACTGCGATGGTAAGTAGCGTCTATAGAGCTGTGGTTGCAAATCCAACTGCTAAATGACTTGAAGATTGATACAAAACCTCCATCCAAAGGGGGAGATTGATATAGAAATAATAGTACTATAGTAGTTTCTTTTTAACATGCTTTAATAGCTTTACTTGAATGTTGTATGTTATTAAACATATCTCTATTAATCATCGTATCAATTTTTAACTTTCGAAATAATAATGTTCATGACATTGCCACATGCGAGTGATAAAAGAAAAAGTGACGTTTTTTTTTTCATATTTTTATATTTTTCACCAAATAAGGAATATAGTCTACCTGATGGTAAGTGGAGTATACTGCTACAAACCTATCCTCAATTAGGAAACAAAATGTACACGCGTTGTCACTCCTGAGGACTAAGATGAAATACCTCGTTTCCAGTAAAAAGGGTCTCCGGTTCTCTACACTCACTATAAGACCAATATTTTATTTTATATAGATGGATATATAATATAATATTATTATTTTTTTTCTGCAAGTTACAAGTGAATTTAGTGGAGTATTTTCAAGTGATGGTCGATATTTTTTTGCCGTTAGGAGGAGGCGTAAGAGAATTAACTACAATTATTATAGAAATAACTTTCATCCCGTGGATGTCATAGGAGGTAACAAACGGAAAAGAAACAGGAAATAAGCAGTAAGATCTTCCTGGTAACAACTCAAAATAATAAAAAACTACGAAGCGAAGCAACTATGGCAAATATCCAAATATGAGCCCATCTCTTGGATGGGAATGCCTGAGTTTTTATACGTAGTAGAGCCATGCTGTAGCTATACTAATAGTATATTTTTAGCACGTATGGGTCGGCTCGAACGGGGAAGGACCACGTTCTCATTGAATACCAGCGTAAATAGCAGCTTAATGTTGCTGTGTTTCGTATGATGAGTGTAGAAAACCGTAGACCCTTTTTACTGGAAAAGAGGCATTCTATCTTAGTTCTCACGGCTGACAACGTATCTCCATTTTAATTCTCAAACAAATATAGATCTAGATGTCTATGGGCCACAG